TATTCCTTGGTAAAGGGACACTATAGTGTTAGGAACGCAAACCTATATTCCTAACGCTATAGTGTCCCTGTCCCTAACTTAAAAGATCTCCCTTCCACTGTCCATTTATTAAAGGGTTAAAGCATTAACGCTTCCCAATAAGAAAGCATTTAATCAATTCTTTCCTATAGAATACTGTGAGGATGTCCAACGCCATTTAATGGTGTGAAACTCCGTAAGGGACTAGGACCCATTAGTCCCTCTAGGTGGAGCTTACCCTGAACTGTAAACCTTTAAAAAAATATTTCTATATTTCACATTACAGGGTAAAACAGACAGAGCACCGCTTATAGTTATCTCGCCATTAAATGGTCTTTCTAAAGATACCATTATTGTCATGGTATCATATAATTTACGATAAAAAACATTTATAAAATATGATGAAAATTTTACAAATGGTATGCCATCAAAGGGGGTAATTCTTATTCCTGGCCTACCATATTCTCTCAAAGACAACATCAAGCCTTATATTTGACCCTGTAACTTTCTAAAACACTATAAAACCTGTATGTGGGGGGTACTGTTATACTCGGGAGACTTTGCTGAACACAAATATTAGTGTTTCATTACAGTAAAACGTTTCACAACAATGATATCATCAGTGATAGTGCCATTTGTGTGTGAAAAATGCAAAAAAACTTCACTTTAACTGACAATATCATTGATGTGATAAGTTTTACTGTTTTAAAATACACTAATATTTGTGTTCAGCAAAGTCTACCAAGTAAAACAGTATCCCCCATGTACAGGTTTTAGGGTGTTTTGGAAAGTTACAGGGTTAAATATAGTGCTAGCAAATTAGATTCTCTGTACTTTAGGCCTGGGTTGTCAGGCAGGTCCCCGTGATTATCACTTATATATTTGTGTTATTTTTTTTTTTTACTATTTAATTCACTGAGTGCCTCGACCCCTGGTAGACAGGCACTAGAGGAGGAGTTAACCCATAAAGGTAATTATTGCAGTTTATAAAAAAACTGCAATAAGTACCTTTCCGGGGTTAAGGGTGCTGGGACACTGCACCCAGACCACTCCAATGAGCTGAAGTGGCCTGGGGGCCTATAGTGTCCCTTTAAGAAATATAAGGTAATGTTCTCATAATAATTTTCAAATACGTTAATAGTTAATTCATGATCACTATCTAATATTTTTATTAGCTTTTCAATGATCACAATCTGTCAGAACACCATTTCAAAATAGGAATATTGAGGGGGTGGAATTTTGGCAGCTCGCGTGGCAGCTTGGTCTTCCCTAACCAGAGTCTCTTCTTTCTGGTGGTGTAGTTAGTATGCAGAAAAGGGAGCGGGGAGACAGCGCCTGTAGAATTGTTCTCAAATCCGGTGATATATGAAATAAGCAGAAAAACTTAATATAGTGTAGTATATTGTGAATCCTGGTGGAATATTAAAAACAGAAATGCACTTACAATTTTCTGGAGGTTATGTTCAGCTCCAGATTGATGCGCATGGACGGAACAGCTCCATAATATACTACACTATATTAAGTTTTTCTGCTTATTTCATATATCACCGGATTTGAGAACAATTCTACAGGCGCTGTCTCCCCGCTCCCTTTTCTGCATACCTTTTGAAAATACTTTACAAGTACAAAAATACTTTAATGGTGTCTGCTATAGATAAATCATTTAAAAGGTTTTTCTAACATATTATGAGTATGGAGTCTGTTTATAAAAGTGCTATTTTAATAAAAAATAAGTATTCTTTTATCATTAGACCTTATTTATAAAGCACCAACACATTCCGCAGCACTGTACATGGGTAAAAAGAAAAAGGCACAATCAGGGCCGCCATCAGAAATTTCGGGGCCCCTAACACAGCTCAAGGTCTGGGCCCCCCTTCAAGCCCGCCTCCAAATCCCACCCACAGGAATACACACACACTAACAGATACAAATACTGAAACAGACATACACACATGCATAGGGAGATACTGACACACACACACATTCACACACATATACATGAAGACATACATACTGACAAACATACATATACATACACATACTGCATACTGATATATACATACATGCTGACAGGCATACATACATACAGACACACACTGGCATACAGACACACACTGGCATACACACACTGGCATACATACACACATACACTGGCATACATGCACTGGCATACACACATACATACACACTGGCATACATACACTGGCATACACATACTGACACACACATACACTGGCATACATACACTGGCATGCATATATACACTGGCATACATACACACATACACTGGCATACACACATACACTGACACACACACTGGCATACATACACTGGCATACACACACACACAGGCATACACACATACACACACTGGCATACACACATACACTGGCATACATACACACATACACTGACACACATACACTGGCATACATATACACACACACTGGCATACACACACACTGGCATACATACATACACTGGCATACATACACACTCTGGCATACACACATACACTGACATACACACATACTGGCATACATACATACACCTCATCCCCAGCCACCCTCCTCTCTTCCTTACCATTTCGTTGCAGGAGGGTGGCTGGGGATGATGGGCATCGGCTGCCTCTCCTCAGGCTGCGTCCTCCTTCCCGCGCGGAGTAAAATGGGAGGAAGTGACCGGACGTCACTTCCTCCCAGCAGCACTTGCTTCTGGCTGCATTTTTTTTTTTAAAGGGGCCCGGTCGCGCTATTACAGCGCTGATTGGGCCCCTGAAGATAATAGGGCCCATTGGGCCCCATCAGCTTGTGGGCCCCGGTGCAAATGCACCGGCAGCAGTTCCGCTGATCCACCCCCCAGGGCCGCCGGGCCCGTGACAATTGTCACTGTTGTCATGCCCTGATGGCGGCCCTGGGCACAATCTATCTGAGACAATACAAAATTTGACAAACAAATACAGGAGGAGTTGAGTGCCCTACTTCTGTGAGAGCTTAACATTTAGATATCTAGGTAAGAGTAAGAGTAAGATAAGATACGAGTAAAAACAGGAGGTTGGGACTGTAAATGTGAGAATGATGTTAATGAGGAGTGAGATGAGGGCAGTTATTAGTTAATTGGAACATGTTAGTTACTGAGTTGAGTGATAAACTTCCCTGAAAAGGAATGTCGTTGGTAGGAGCACTTAAATGAAGAGAAAAGTCTGAGAGTTCAGGGACATGCTTTGTGCCACCTAAAAAAATCCAGCAGTCTAGCATGGGTAGATGTGATAATTAAAGATGCAAGGAGGAGGTCATTGTTTTGATCTTGGGGAGACTGGAGTATACTTGTTGTATATAGTTGATTAGAGAGGACAAATAGAAAGGGTTGGTGTTAAAACTTTGCCAAAATGCCTCCCCAGTAGTCAGAGATTTTCTTCCTCCTTTGTTAGTTCCACTGACCTAATGAAAGAGGTCGGTGTGCTGGGCTAGAGCACATTAGCGTTGCCTCCATCTTTGTGAGTTGTGCTTCAGCTCCATGAGAAATAAAGGAAAGTTGTGATCATGTAATTAGAATCCTCTGATTGGTCAATTCCCTGGCACAGACTGAAAGTGTGTGTCGGAAAAAGGTGACACTTTTATCATATACCCCCAAATAAAACATGCAGAAAAAAATTCTGATGGTATATTTACAGATTAGAAATCAACTGTTAGTTCCTTTAAGTATATATTGATTACCTTATTTTATATTGCCCTACAATCCATGTAATGTCCTGCACATATAATAACATCCACCTACAACCAAGATACATTCTACAAGGTAGTATGAGCAAGTGCATTTAGTGCATTGTCTGAACATACATATGTAGCATACTTGCCTAATAAGAGACAGTTCATTTTAATTCAGGTAGATTTATAAATTTTGCATAACATTTCTTCTATATTTTTTCTGGCAATATGGCTAGCATGATATGTAGTTGGAATGCTGACTTTCAATGTTATTTTTTTTTTAAATGCTAGGTGACTTTTTCTTAATTACTTAATTAATATATTTTTTAGCCATAATTTATTTTGTGTGCTTGTATCCATATATTTGGCTTGTCTTGGTATGTAATTATTCATTGTAGGATCACACACTATTTAAGAGTAGATTTTTATCCACAATTCCCTTTCCCTACTATTTCCAGCAGCAAAATGAAATTGCAAAGCAATCCTTAACCAATCAGAGGTTATGGTTATTTAATTTTAATTAAGCTCATATTGAGATATGTCTATATATATTTAAATAATTGAACCAAACGTGACAAGGTTCAATAAAATGTTAAATCTATTTGGCTACGGTGGATGCTTAATTGGTTTCTTCTCTTTAATGCGTGCATTTAGCTGAAATGATAATGCCAGAGGATTTATGAAGCTTCTCAGATAAAGAGCATCAAGTGTTTTCCACTCCTCCCTTCCACTAGTTACATTTATTAGACTGACGCCTCTACACAGCTTTATGATCTGTGTTGGCACAAAATAAGCATTTTTGAAATTAAGTGATTTGTTATGACCATGTTGTGTACCCTGACTATTATATGTTTTTCGAGTACTAGATGTAATAAAGATAAAATACTATGTTTAAAAGGAAATATTTTAAGTCATAATTTCAAAGTTCATTTTTTGAAAAAGGGTAAACATTCCTTATTTATGTAAGAAAGTGGGGCATGGAATGTATCAGTGCTTGTAATATGACTGCTAGAACTTCCCTGGAGTCTCTTCTTTTCTGGTGGAATGGTAGGTATAGAAAGTAGTGTCAGGAAGCACCGCCTATGGTAGTCTTCTCAGGCTCGATGAAATATAGCGGAAAAGGGAGAAGACACAGATATAGTGTAGTATGTTAGATTGCTTGATAGTGATAAAGAAAAATATTGCACTTACAATTTTCTGGAGCTTATATTCAGCTCCAGATATATGCGCGTGGACGGTACAATCCCTGTCTAAGGATATGATGATGGTCCTAGTATACTCTCAGTGGCTTCTTTGGGGTCAGGGTGTTCTGTTTGTGGCACTGACACCAGAACACCCTGACCCCAAAGAAGCCACTGAGAGTATACCAGGACCATCATCATATCCTTAGACAGGGATTGTACAGTCCAGGCACATATATCTGGAGCTGAATATAAGCTCCAGAAAATTGTGCAACATACTACACTATATCCGTGTCTTCTCCCTTTTCCCCTATATTTCACTGAGCCTAAGAAGACTACTATAGGCGCTGCTTCTTGACACTACCTTCTATTCCTTATTTATCCTAATATCTCAATTGCTCTTCAAGAACATGATGATTTGTATATAATAATGACAAATCTTCTCTTCTCTAGGAGGGGCAACAGAGCTAAAGGTTAAAAACTACAGATTTTTGTGACGTGAATAGTAGTTATTGTTGTCTAAATTTGAGCAGAGTTGTGCATATAATGCAGCAATGAAACCACTGGCGTACCTACCACAGTCGCAGGGGTGGCAGCTGAGACCAGGTCCCTCACTTCAGCTGCAACCCCTGCGACCGTGGGCCGCCTGGATACTTTATGAGCCGGTGCACAGCTGCACTGGCCCAGGTCCGCGGTTCCCAGAGGGCTTGCAGGAAGGGAGAGCTGCACTGTGCTGCTCCCCTCCTGCCCGGGTGTAGCGTGGCCAAGCAATCTGACAGGGAATGCTCACTGTTAGAGCACTTCCTGTCAGACTGGGAACCACAGCCAGTAAGGTTCAGGAGGGGAGGGGGGAGAGAGAGGGTATGGGACACCTGGAGGGGAGGGGGGATAGAGATAGAAATGGTACACAGGGAGGGGAGAGAGAGGGAACAATGAGACACAGGGAGGGGAGGGAGAAAGAACAATGGGACACACGGAAGGGAGGGGGAGAGACGGAATAATGGGACACAAGGAGGTGAGAGAGATGGAGGGGATGGGACACAGGTAGGGAGGGGGGAATGGAGGGTATGGGACACAGGGAGGGGAGAAATAGAGGGTATGGGACACCTGGAGGGAAGGGGGAAGAGAGAGAGAGAAATGGAACACAGGGAGGCGGGGGAGAGATGGAACAATGGGACACATGGAGGGGAGAGAGGGAGGGTATGGGACACAGAGAGGGGAGGGGGAAGAGAGATAGGAATGAGACACAGGGAGGGAAGGTGGGAGAGATGAAAGGTATAGGACACAGGGAGGGGAGGGGGAGAGATGAAGGGTATGGGACACAGGGAGGGGAGAAGTAGAAATGGGACACATGGAGGGGCTGGGAGAGAGGAGGGTATGAGAAACATGGAGGGGCTAAGGGGAGAGGGAATGGGACACATGAAAGGGCTGGAGTAAGAGGTGCCTATGGGACACATGGAGGGGCTGAGGGGGGAGAGGGAATGGGACACATGTAGGGGCTGTGGGGCAGAGAGAATGAGGCACATGGGGGGGCCTGGGTGCGGCAATGAGACACCGAGGGGGGAGTGAGAGACATTGGAGGGGGGCCCCAGGGTAATTTACGCACTGGGGACCAGTGGATTCTAGTTACGCCTCTGAATGAAACCATTATCTAAATGGCACCAGAGAAACTGTGCATTGGATGTTGGAAAACCCCAGTATTTTGTCAAACCACTCAAGAACAATTTGGTATAAATCAGAGGTAATGTAGTTTTCTACAAGTGCAAAACTTTGTAAATATCTTACTGTAAAAAGTCCAAATTGAGGTCACCTATGCGAGTAATATTTTTAAAAATAATTATAATGTAATAATTTCATAAATACAAAGCATAATTTCGCTACTAAAATTACGAGAGCATTTTAAATCAACCAGCAATTTCGATATCCTTCCTTAAAGGATAATTGCCATTTTCCTGGATGTTTAATATTATGTTTAAAAATCTCTATATTTATAGAATATGTATTTGTGAGATGTGAAAAAGAAAATTAAATGTAGAAATCCACACATCTTTTTATCCTGCAATTGTGGGCTTCAATCTTATCTCTCAGTCAATCATTGTTACAAATAAATTTAAAAGAAAATGGAGCATTTCAAGAAAAAGTTAAAGTAAGTTATAGAGAATATTCAATGACAGTTCCCCTTTAAAATCCAAAACTGAAATACGATGGAAGAAATAAAGAGTTGATAACAGAAAATGCTAAAGAAGAGCTAAAGCATTGTCTGTGTCTGATCAACATTGCTTAAAGATCATTAACCATGAGGAAAATGTTTGAATAACATACAGTAGAGTCATTTGGCACCAAAGCATGGTGGAGGTGGACCATCATAAGACATCTTTAAATATACTAATGTATAAGGCTTATGGCAGTTTAGAAACAATTCTTGCAGAAATAAAGCAAGTAGAAACAAAAGTAACACAATGTTATTGCATCAAGCACAGTGGCAAACAGTTTTATTGAGAACTAAAGGAAATCTGTAGTGTTAGGAATCCAAATTTATATTTCTAACACTATAGTACCCTCTGGATCCCTCCTCCAGTACATAAATGGTTAAAAACCCATTTATTTACCTGATTCCAGCACCAATGTCCCTCGGCGCTGGGTCATGGTCCGCCTCCTCCGACGTCATCCGATGGGGGGACCTAATGTGTATTCGCATTATTGTTGTATAGTAACTATTAATACTGTGTGAGACACTGTACTAAAGCTAACACATTCTCAAAGGCTCTGGTGTTTAATAGATCCTGCTTTATTGCTGCTATATTTCTAAATACGCATGCAATTTGCATTATCATACATCTATGGATAAATAAAGTGTCTAGTATGAATAGTTATTTGTGATCAAACTAATTCTACAATAGTTTTTTTATAATTATTTAACCCAAAGAAATCCAGGACACAGTTTCTAATGTATTTTCTTAAAGGGTTAATCTAAAATTCCATAACCACTTCATCTCAGTGACTGGCCCACCGGGATACCGGGAATTTTCCCGGTGGGCTGCAGCACCTGGGGCAGGCAGGAAGCCATAATGTACTATTTAAATTATTTTTCCCTCTTACTGACAGAAGCTGTCACAGAATTCAGGAGGCAGGTGCTGGAGGCTGATGCGGCCACATTAAGGCTGCTGGCGGCCAGAGGGAGCACTGAGTCTCCCTTCCTGATTCCCAGCAGCACTTATGCCGTGGCCCAGCATGTAAGCTCTGCCCCTGCATGTAAGCCCCACCCCTGTTTGGAAGCTCCGCCTCCCACACTCAAGCAGGGAATCTTGCTGCAGGAAGAGGCCTGGAAATGGCCTCCCAGAGTAAATGGAATCGCACACAGCCTCCAGTGCCAGGTAGGGTTTATATACTGTGTAGTGTGTGTGTGTCAGTGAGCTAAAGGAAGGGGGTATTAATGGTGTGAGGGGGATTTTGATTGAGTGAGGGGGTATTGATGCAGTGAGGGGGATATTGATGGTGTGAGGGGGTATTGATGGTGTGATGGGGTATAGATGCAGTGAGTGGGGTGTTGATGGAGTGGGGGGTATTGATGGTGTTAGGGGGTATTGATGGAGCGAGGGGGAGTAATGATGGTGTGAGTGGGGCTACTGATGGTGTGAGGGGGGTATTGATGGAGTGAGGAGGGTATTAATGGTGCGATGGGGTATTGATGGTGTGAGGGAGGGTATCGATGGAGTGAGGGTGTATTGATGGTGTGATGGGGGTATTGATGCAGTGAGGTGGGGGTTGATGGAGTGAGGGGGGTATTGATGGAGTGAGGGGGTATTGATGGTGTGGGGGGCATTGATGCAGTGAGGGGGTAGTGATGCAGTGAGGTGGGTGTATTGATAGAGTGAGAGGGGTGGTGGTAAGGGATTAAATACCATTTTTTTTAGCTCCCTGGTGGTCCGGTGGCCATAATATCCGGTCTGCAGCTCCGCTGAACTGCAGACCATGTATCTCGTGAGATTTAGTCAGAGCGTTGCTGTGATAACCTGCAGCAACGCTCTGATTGGCAAGATCTCGTGAGACACGTGGTTTGCAGTTTTGCACATTGCGGAGCTGCAAACCTGTGTCTGCGATTTACGCTCTTCTGCCGGGCCGATTGGAGGGGCCTCGCACCTGGTGGCATACAGAGCAAGCCACTGATGTCGGGTCCTCGGTCACTAACTAAGGATCAGGCACAGTCTGCCCTAAGGCAATTTAGGTGGCCGCGAAGCCCCAGGCAGTGCGAGGCCTTAGGCGGTCGCCTAAATTGCCTAATTAGAGAGCCGCCTCTAACCACAGTCTAGCACCTGGTATTAGAACAGTGATTATATTAAAGCAGGAGTGCAAGGCAATATTGAACTGTATATATTTGTATGTGTGTGATATATATATATATACACACACACATTACGTGTCACAAGGCCTTATGGGGCTGGCATACATTTTTTCCAGGGCTGCTTTGAATTCACAGTCCGGCCCTGAGTGGTTCTGATGCATTTCCTTTTAAACACATCTGATTTCATAAATATACCTAGTTTCTGGGGGTAGGGCTGCCTCCTTTGGCTGTTAATCAGCTATCTGGAATATACTGTTCCGCCTGGTTAACAATATTAGTTTGTCTTTAGCATCCCCGTCAGTGCTGAGTACTAACAAGAAAGTAAGTACTGGGGAAATAAAACGACAAAAGATCTTTCTCATTAGCAGCAGATGGCAGTTGTGCAATTAAAGAAAAGTAATATTTTAGGCTTAGATAGTATTTGCGCAAATTTGAGAAATGCAGATTTTTTAAAATAATTTATTACAGAGTAAATGAAATAGACACATTTTTTGGACAGAGTTTTGCTTTCAATTAGCACAAGAGGCAGCATTTTATAACTTAATGGTACATTTAATAGACCATACTGTTTAATATCCTCCTTGTAGAGCTTAATGTAACGGACACTAATGTGCTTTCTAATCTCATCAACGCTGCCACCAACTGAGATGAATACATGGTAACCTTACAGGACTTCTGCAAGATGGTAAGACATTTGAGCTCATAATGCCTCTTTTATTTTGTTTACAAAAGATTCAGCACGACTCTAGATTGCAACAGTGGATTTTCATCTTAACACAACAAGTAATTCTTCATCTTGGATACTTTGCCTTAGTCATAGGTTCCCAGATTTGTCAAGAGCTAAATATGTGCACATATGATAAAACTATTTCTATTTTAAGAATCCAGATTAACAGATAAATCATCATTTAGTGACCAATGCTTGAAATCATATAAAATAAAAAAGCACTTAGTGGCATAGATTATGTAAGATATCACACTGTTATTATAAGACCTGCATTTTTTCATCATTTTTTAAGATGATTATTGAAATGGTACTGACTTTATTATTATAAATACAACCCTGACAATTTCAACCAACCATGATTTATAGTAGAATATTCTCTCTTTTTACTCCTTCTTAGTGCTGTGGTAAGACTGTGCGATATGATAGAAAGTTGGCATTGAGAAGGTTTATTGTATGTTGCCAAAAACCTGTCTTATTCATTAGAAGGGGTTTATTTAATTAGTCCATATAATTAGAAGCATTTTTGCAAGAATTGCATTTTTTTCACAAGTCATAAACTGTTTGGCAGGTTGTTGATTTGTGGCATGAAACAATACAACTAAAGTTAATGCTATTTATTAAAATATTAGTAATAGATATGAGCAATGAAATTTGTATGTGAAATACTAAATAATTTTGGGACTTTCTACTTGATGTTGAGTTGAGGTGAGTTGACAAACGATTTGCAAAATGTATGCTATGGACAAGTTATCCAAGATAGCAACCAGATGGCTTGAGTTGGAATTATTTTGTTTCCACAAAGGTGGTAGTCTGTACTCAGGAGTTGCCCTCCTATGTACGGTAGTTGGATGTGTTTGGTCCAGACACAATCTAGATCTCAGAAACCATTGTGAAAATGTCAGTTACTTCATAGTTTTAGGTTCACCCCCCATTTGATGTAAAAACCTGAAAAAAAAGTTTTGCTTACCTCTTTCCTGTTCCATGCTCTTTCTGTGATGGCCAATGCAATGCTCATCAGAGGAGCATTGGAAACATGCACATGTGTGCTGAGTGCTGTGTGCACAACTTAATGCTTCTCATAGAAAAAAAGCATTGGTTACTTGAGAGAATTTTACTCAGCTGTCCTATAGAAGCACCTCTGGTGACTATACTGCTCTAGTGACTGTCTGGAGTGTTTAACCATGTAATGGAAACATGTCAGTTTCTACAAAACTGCAATGATTTACATTGCAAGGTAAAAACTACAAGGCCATTGCATCTAGACCACCTCATTGTGATGAAGTGGCATGGGTGCCTATATTGGTTCTTTAAAATAAAGAAACAATGTTACACAACTATGACACTGACTAGCGTAGGATGTCTAACAAAATGGTCTAACAATAATGGAACAGAGAGATCCACAGCAGAGCTGAGAAAAAAAAATATTCATGAGGTATATCTCAGCACTCTACAAAGTTGATCTTCTTGGGTGAGCCAAGAGGAGAAAAGTATTGCTAAAAAACTATTATCAAATCACATGCTGAATTTTTCAAAAGGCACATGGGAGACACAGAGAACGTATGTTCAAACTGTTATGTGCACTTCACTCTGTGAACACCATCTTCACCCAGTACGGTGGCTGGGATGTCATTTATAAGGATGCTTGTCATTGACAGGTAGTGATGTCCCGAACTGTTGCCGAACTGTTCGCGAACTGTTCGCCACGTTTCGTAGCGAACGTTTTGCCATGAACTCCCGTCAGCTGACACATTCCAGCCAATCAGCAGCAGACCCTCCCTCCCAGACCCTCCCAACTCCTGGACAGCATCCATTTTGAAGCTGAATTCTTAGTGAGCTGTCCAGGAGGTGGGAGGGTGTGGGAGGGAGGGTCTGCTGCTGATTGGCTGGAATGTGTCAGCTGACGGGAGTCCGCGGCGAACATCGCGGGACATCACTATTGACAGGTACTTAAAAATTGGTCAGGATTAAAAGCAAAATGGATGAATCAAGTACAGGAAGTTCTAGAGGTAAACCTGTTTTAGTCTGTGGTAAAGAATTATATTCCAACAGCATAATGCACCAAATCACACAAAGTCAAAGGTTTAGAAATAAGCACCTGAAAGTCTTAAAATGATCCAGTCATAGTTCAGAAATAATATAATTGTAAATATGTGATAACACTTTGAAATGTCAGAATTTGAACACTTTTGTCAAAATCTTTTTCAAATGTTCATGAATTACAGGATAAAGATGTGCAAAATTTGCAGAGCCTTATCCAAAAGTCTTGCAGCTACAGTTGCAAGGGGGGGTTTACTAGCAAGGTTATTCACTAAAATGATATTTCAAAGTGAATTAAAATGATTTTTGAATGAATTTGAGGCCAAAATAGCCAAATTGGAAGTAAGCTATCTTTTCAGAAAGGCTACCTTGGCCCACAATTTTAAATTCACTTTGAATTCTACCTCTAGTGAATAACCTTGCAAAAATTGACTCATGCGATTGCATACTAATGCAACTATTTTTTTGTTTAATTTATCAGTGTGCCATTAGAGAAATGCAGCTTCTAATTGTTAGGTATGTTGTGTAAGACAAGTGGTAAAAATCCAAACAGAAACTTTCAATTCAAAATGTTTATATTGCTAAATGTGAAAAAGTTTGGAGGGACGTTATCTATCCTAAGCACAGTAATAATACTGAGACATTTTATTGGAAATAATGCCACTGAAAGTATAAAGAGATAATAGCAGATCTTATTTCACAGATCTGCAGGGGTAAGAGCTAAAGATGATGCACAATATATTCCATTACATTTCATATGCACAGCAGCTTTTTGGAATGTCTTTATAATTTCCAAGTCCTATTTCAGTCTCTGCAGGTGCAATTTACTTTTTTTCTGACCAAGCATAGATTCAGCTATTTAAATTTCTATATTATAGATATATAGGAATGTAAAAGAAAGGTAAGAAACGCAAAGGAAAGAAGGAAACAAGACATAAGATTGTATGTTAGGGAGGACATGTTTCTAGTTCCTAAATTATGTCAGTTCTGAAGTTTGTCTCACAGTTGGCTTAGACTACATTTACTAAAGTGAGAATTCAAAGTGAATTCAACATAAATTTAAAATTTAAGGCAAGGGTAGCTGAACTGAAAGCATAGATGATTTAGAGAATTTTTCCATTTTGGCTATTTTGACCTTACATTTGAAATTCACTTTAAATTCTCGCTTTATTTAACAGACTAAATGCTTTAAAGTGACACTGCAGGCACCCGGATCATCTCAGCTAATTGAAGTGCTAATTGTAGCTAATTTTGCACTTAGTGCTGCAATGTTAAACATTGCAGTTCCAGAGAAACTGCGATTTTTACCAGACAGCCACTTCAGGGCTTCCTGAATCGAAATGGATCTTTGGTCTGGTAAATGACACTGAATGTCCTAACACTCTCCATGAAAGCACAGGAGGAAAGCACTGAATCAAAGGTCTAATACGTGCGCGGCATTTGGTGGGCATGCGCATTAGCACCTGCTTGTTGCGGGACGGAGGAGGAGAATGCAGAGCATCGGCTCAGCGCCGAGGTACATCGGCACTGGGAAAAGGTAAGTAAATAAAGGGGTTTTAACCCTTTATTTACCGGGGAGTAGGGAGGCAGGGGGAGCTATAGTGCCAGGAATACAGCTTTGTATCCCTGGCACGATGGTATCCCTTTAAGAGACAAAATGTTAGCATGTTTAAATTCGACAAAATGTGGTCACAACTATTCTTGATAATAAACAACATGCATATATAGTGAGAAATAGAACACCACTGAGGAATGCAAGGCAGTGGTACAATGGTAAATACATAGTATATTGAATGTCTGGTCATCTGAGGGCCGAATCAGTCTGTTGGAACATAATTTTTAAGTATTTGTGATAGATGCTAAATATTCTTAGATGCAGGAAGAAATATATATATATATATATATATATATATATATATATATATATATATATATATATATATATATATATATATAATATTCGTTGTATTCTCTTCAAAGCTTGGAAAAGTCAAATCTCCAGCAGCTGTGTAGTCAGTGGATTTTGGTAATTACAGAAATTTCTTTTGTTGCACCAGACAATTGTTTTATTATCTAGAGGGATATAACACAGGCAGCAAGATAATTATTACTCTGCTAGAATGTTCCATTGATCTCAGAAATATTTTCATTTTTGTACATCAGTGCATGTCACATAGCTACACATTTGCATTCATTTTTGTTCTTGGCTAACAAGGAAGCAAAACAAAAATAGAAGTCAGTGGGAAAAAAAATCCTTAATTAAATTGTGTTCTAAGGCAACATGGTTAATTTCCAGTTTTAAAAAGCCAACAGCACTGAACATTACTGTATAGAAATTATTACTGATCTCATTTTGAAGAAGTAAAGCTGAATTAATAACGTTGTTTTTATTTGAACAGAATAAACATCTTGCAATTAATACTTGTTTTGTGCTTACAATTGAAAGAATATAACATTGAACATTAATAATATCTTAGGGGGACATTTTATTTAAGTTTTTCTACATGACCCATTTTCCAAAGCTCTCTTTCTCTGTGTATATGCAAAATAAATATTGAATTTTATTGACCAAAATGAATTGGAATTATTGGTATTCCTTTAGGTTATGCAGTAAAATCATAACATAGACCAGGGGCAGGCAACCCACGGCACTAGTGCCATGCACGGCACTCGAGGTGTCTTTGCATGGCACTCAAGGCTGCTAGAGCCAAAGGCACTCTGGCCTATCAGGAGTCCCAGTAAAACTTCAGGTATCTGCTAATACGAAGAGGTGGTAAAGGACAATCCTCAATTTATGCATTGCGGCACATAGAGGAAGTGATCTCAGCACATCTCCCAGCACTTGTGAATGGGAATCCACACTGTAGTAGAGCAGCTTTCGCAGCTCTTGTCCTTGACCTGTACCTGGCCAGCCTGGTCCCCACTGGAACCCAGGGAACCCACCGACACTGCTAGATATACACAGAAATGTAGAATAACCCTCCCCTCAAACAAATAATATGAACAGCCCACAAACACACACAAACCACACAATCCCCACAAACGCAACACCACTAACAATATACATACATGCACACAACCCCACATGCAGCCTCACACATGCAATACCCCATATAGCCCCACACACTACCAAGCACACAATGTGACATCGCTCCACACACAATTCCACACAATTCCACAAGCAGCCCTCATACACAGACCACATTCATATGTATCATACACGATACCATAAACTACTAATGAGCATATACAATTTAATAGCTCATATACGCACAAATACAACGATACAAAGCAATTACAGTAAAAATAACACAAGCAGAATACTGCAGCATACACACCTCAATTTAAAAGAATAGGATCGGCACGCTACGGGACATCACAATCCTATATCGGCACAGTGCTGCTAAAAGGTTGCCTACCCGTGACATAGACAATCGATAGTGTACAAAGTAGCTTGTAGAAAATTGACAAATAAAAACCTAAAAACTGGAGTCAGTAGTGAGCAACACCCAGACTAACTAAATTAATAGTTTTCCTGTTACCTTATATAACTAATCTCTAATCCTAATACCCTAACATTAGATCTTATTACAATATCTGAAAAGGACAGCCCACTGCCCAGATTTAAAGGACCACTATAGTGCCAGGAAAACATACTCGTTTTCCTGGCACTATAGTGCCCTGAGGGTGCCCCCACCCTCAGGGACCCCCTCCCGCCCGGCTCTGGAAAGGGGAAGGGGTTAAAACTTACCAGCTATTTGAGCTGTTGTCCATTTTCAGAATTCTTTTGCACACTGTTTTTTATTTTTCATTCTCCCTTAGGTAAAGGGGCAATTTAGACATGGACCCCTTGCTCACAGTACCTTGAGAGGAATTGACTATGTCTCACAAGGGCGAACAAGGCTGAAAAGAGAGGTTGCTGTCTGTCTCATGCAAAGGGATACAGCCTGCATTTTGGATTTGTATTATACTTTTTAATGTGATCTGACTGATAATGCAAATTTTGTACATACTCTCTGTAATTGTACAAGATGAGCCCAGCTAGAAAACTGAGCAAAACCAAAGAACAAGCTATTTGAATTGTTGTCTGTTCTCGGGATTCTCTTGCACATTGTTTTTTTGCTCATGTCTCCATTTAATAATGCATTTTATTCATTGGGGGTATATAACAGAATGCAGCCTTTACAAATCCTCACCTACTAACCCTGCCCAGACTTGCTTTTGCTGTCCAACCACAGACTTTCCAATGCAGCTCTGTGAGAAGTCTCCAAAGCAGGTGACCTGCCTTTTGAATTTATCTCCACTGAGCTAAACAACCAGGAAGTAACATGTCAGTTGTCTGATTGACAGCTAGGGGGCGTAAGAAGGTTAATTTAAAAAAAAGTTCTATTGAAATTTGCCCATTTTGTAAAAAAAATAAAAAAATGGATAAACTCTTCACACATAAAGCTTTTAGCAAGCCCTATGTGTCTGGAGTGTCTCTTTAACACAAGACATAATTTTGCATTTGTCCAAGACCATTTATAACTAATTTATTAAACCTATGATATTGTCTTGATTACCTCTTTTGAATAAACCTGAATTGTATCTAAGAAAATAAAAAAGGGGCAGATTACTTCTTGAATACTGAAAATTGACCTCTCCTTCTGTTAAGCTGTCAATATATTGTTACTTTTCATGCACAAACAAAATAAAGAATTATAAAAAAAATTATATTGTCAGGATCTTACCTGTATCAGCAAATTTCATGATGCTACAAATGCAATCCACAGTACATTGGAATCTATGAGCACTCACTGAACTATTGAACTATTCCATCAAAATCAAGAAAAAAACACACATCTTTCAGATTTACAGACAG